GGGATCCATAATGAAGACAAAATTAGCTTGCATGGCTTCTATGGTGGAACAGTGTTAAGGCAGGTGAATGTCTGTGGAAGACATCAGTGATGAAAATCTATGGAATTTACTGTGAGGTTGACTAGAGTCCTCCCTCCCTTCTACCTAGGTGGAACTGAGTTAGTGTGAAGTGTTCATTTTGCTTTAGGCATTTAGAATTTTAATTTTCTTTTATTTGGGAATTCTTTCTCCCTGTTGAAAGCAAATAAAAGTGTTATTTCATGTGTTGCATAAGTTGCTGAAAATCTGGGCTGTCATCAGAAGGGATGGTCCTGCCTTTTTCCCAGCTAAGTGTTACCACCACCTTCTTTGTGCTTGTGCAGTATGCCTGCTTAGAAAGCTGTTTTGACTCAAAACTAAAGAGAAATACCTAAGACGTCTGTTGGGTCAGTGCTCTGATGTTGCTGACAGAAAGGGCAGTATGATCTTTGGTCAGTTTTAGTTGGCTGTAAAACTGCATCTTGAGGCCGTAGTTACCTGAAGCCCTGTGATGCAATCTGGAGGGTTGCTGCTGCTGCAATGAGAAGATCCTGCTTTGGTGGGTCTTCTTTCAGGCACTCTGGCACTCATTAGACCCCTCTGTGACTCGATTCAACTAGATAATGTGAAAGAAAATGACTCTTTGATTCCATCTGATAAGCTGAAAGGGTTCATGAGGAGTCTTGACGAAAGCTGGCGCAGATGCAAGGACAGGAGTAGAACTGGGCAGCCCGGAGTAGGGGCAGCAGAAGGAAGGGTGTAGATGTTCCCCTCTAGCCATCACTGAGCCCTGAGTACAGAAGTGGTGTTATGTCACAGTGTGGAAGCTTACAAACTAGCTGTTGGCAGCTTGTGGTGGTAGTTTCAGTCTGAATGTTTGGGACACATACCAGCAGACTTAGGGACAGAAAAATCACAGGCAGTTGTCTTCATTGGAGAAGTCTTGTTGCAGAGCTTCTTGTTTGTGTATGTTAAATAAGCAAATACCAATATGAGTGTTAATTTTTTTTTTCTGCAGATGTTCTAATCTTTTATTTCTGTTAGTCTAAGCAGCTCTTCCAGAATTGTTGGCATATGAAGAAACAAATGGAGCAATTTTGAGATGAAGAATGTGCATGTGTGTATATATATATACACACACATATGAATCTGAAATGTGCAAATCACAGTTTAGAGAAATGTACACTTCACATGGGAAGGTTTGAAAGCTGTCTATCAATCCTGTGTACCTGTGACTCGGGAGAGCGTTTGGTACCGAGCTTTGCTGCTATGAAATTCAAATAATCATTGATTAGATACTTGAGTAGCCAAGATTAAATACTGGTTTAATTACTTCCTTCTTTTGTATGAGGAGTTGTTTTTACTGTAGCAGCAGGCAAGAATAGCTATGAGGTTAACAGCCTGAAATAGCTTTTTATTATTATTTTGATTGTTGGTTTTTTCCTTTAGCTGGAAGTTGTTTGAAATGTCACTGGTGTTGCTCCCAGCCCAGATGGCTTTCTGCCTTTGTTTCAGTTACTAGATGTGATGTTGTTAGTCACTAGTGCCACCACACATTTTACAGTTGGGCTCATGACTCATTCTCACAGCCCTCTGAAGTTGGCAATCAGTGTTATTCTGAGTATAAATACTTGTTCCTTCTTGACCCCTCTGATGTCAGCTACTGGTGGAAACTGGGTGCTGACCCAAAAGCCACTAACCTGTTGCTTTGAGGAAGGAAATATTAAGTAAGTGCCTGAGGGCAAGAATGGCTTCCCAGCATGCTCAGACGACTGTGTTGAAGGCCCTTCCCTTTTTAATTGAAAATTGAAAGAGAATTTTAAAAGATCTACTGTATGTGGTGGAAGCCTGTGTTTACAAACAAGTATCTTACAAGGACTTGGTAACTCCATGTGTTGTGTGTCTGGGTTAGAGGGTGTGTAACAGCATTTTAAGTCTTGATTATTTTAGCATTTTAAACTCTTAATGCACTAAAGTGGTTTTAACAATTGCAAATGTTGTGGAAAAACATCTGAAGGAGGATGGAAATAGAAAAGATCTTATTCTGAATTAAACTGTTCTGTGTTCATGATTTCTATTTTAATGTTTTCCTAGCTGCTGTATCTGTTAAAGTAATGCTTTATAATGGTGATATCACTTCATTTTACCATGATGACTACAAAAAATAACTGAAAATATATTGTGTGTGCATTCAAGTATGAAATAGCTTTAGTTTTAGATAATTCAAATGATTTTTCTATGAATACTATTGTCAGCTACAATGAAATTGCAGCTAAGATTTTATGGGTAAGTAGCTCGATGTCCTTTTGGCAATTCTAAGAGATCACAGACCATGCTAAACTTTCCACACCCATTAGTGAGTGAAGGGATGGATTAGTAAAGATCTGGTAATGAAGATAAAATATTTTCCTACCTGATTTGTTACTTTCACCAGGTCTGCACCCCACATCTCCAATTATTTTGTTTTGATTCAGTCTCGTGCAATGTAGGGGATTTTGGAGGGGAATGAGGACCTGATGGGGATAAACTATTACTCAGTAATGATGATGATCAGAGCCTCCTCACTTGCTTCTATTGAGGAAAAATATTTTCCCATACATACTTATGCTTTCTGAAAATCAGAGGGTTTTTCTTTGCCTTTGCTGTCTTTTTATCTTGTACAAGCAAAACACCGAGCGACTCACGCATTTACTGTGGTAACAAGATGTGTCAGCAGCAGTCACGCTTGTGTGGGTCCTCTCAGCTTTGCCCAGGCTGAATGGAAGGGTTTTGAAATGACCTGGGTCTTGTTGTTCAGTGTATTCACATGACAGTTAGAGGTGAGACCCAGGCCTGTTGTGTCGGGGTGAAGGTCCCTTGGAACTGACAGCTGAGTGTGGCAGAGCTGCCCTACCAAAGAGCTCAGTGTTTAGCTGGGCTCCACCCAGCTTTATTAAAATACAATTATGTAGAATATTAATTATATATGATAATAGATCAGGCTATTGTTTATTGTATGTTATGATATGTGTTATATGGCATTATATAGTAATTTTATATTATGTTATATTGTTTTAATACGCCATATTAATGGTTTGTTTGTCAATAAAAGTCAGGCTTCTCTAGCAGTTGCTTTTTTTGTGGGCAGGTTCACTTTCCCCTATACTTGCTTGCTTGCTTATTTTCTCCTTCGCAAGCTGCCTTTATCTAGCAAAAGATTACAAAGAGACTTTCTGAAGTCACTTATAAATTTCTGTTGTCAGTTAAGGACAAGGATGCACATGAGAATGAGTTGATTTAAAGCCTACCATTTTTAGAGTTGAATTTCTGTGAAATAGGCATATCAGACAAATTTAACTCACTATAAATGAAGCGTTAACTGCTTCATCTCATAAAGTTTGGATTTAGTATCTGGTGCTGTGACTTTTGCCAAGCTAAGCTGTTTTATAAAGAAGATAGTCTGGAGAAGGAAGGGAATGAAACACCTTTGTTATGATTTAGTTGTCCTGGAGTTTTGTGGTGGGCTCAACTGTAGGGCATGATAAAAATATTTGCTAGTTGCTTTTTTAGGGGAAAAATAGTAATAAAGTACTTTGGGTTTGAAAAAAACCTGCATGCATATACATTTGGAAAGCTTGCACAGCATGATAATCATTTATAACTCAGTGGCATAACCAATTTAAGCCATCTTGTACCATATCCAGGTGCATCTTTGTTTAGGATCTGTAGAAAGCATTACCTTCTGACAATGGATTTTGCCTGGTGCTTTAGCAAAGAGGAGAATATGAAAATGTTGTGTGTCAAGCAGACCTCTTCAGCAGTGTAGCCAGCCGCAGTGACTGCAGTTCAGAAGGCTGTGGTGATCTTGAGGGTTTTTATTTTTCTTTTCCCACTTGCCAATGAGCTTGTTTGAACCTGCTGTGTGATGTGTAAAGAACAGCAGCCTAGTGTGTTTATTACATCCTGCTTTTTCTGCTGGTGCTGTAATAGGGGAAGTACCTTCAGTCGAGCAGAATGGGCTGGTTTCAGGGAAGGGATCTAGAAGAAAAGGGAAGGAGTGATAAAAATAGTGGAAAGCTGTAATACTAGTGGATTTCCACACTCTGGCTTATTTTTACAATGGTTCCAGAAGTATTAGAAAGGTGTAGGAATAGCTTGTCTTTATTAGAGTCGTGCTTTACAGTAGTGTTTTACAGTGCTTCCCATCCCTTTGTCAGCTGAGGAGCATTGTCTGGATAAATGAGTGCATAGTGTTTGAAGGGGAAATGCATTTTAGAGAGTGATAATCAAAATATAAGACTGGGAAGGTCAGAAAAACTGGTGGTAGCAGTAAGAGTAAATAAAATGTCTGGAAGTACAAAGGACAAGTAAACCAGGAAGCCACTGTAGTGAGTTGAAGTAGATCACACAAAGGGTTTCTTAAGGAAATTGTCTTTCTTCAAAGGTGAAAACAAATTGAGACAAATGTTTTTAGATGAAAATTCCACCTTCTAATAGAATTGAAGATGATTTTCCTTCTATTAATAAAAAATTCCAAGTTGATTGTGTCACTTTGGCCACATTTGTGGACAGGTAACAGGAAATTAGCAAAACCAAAATGATTACATTGGTCACGTGTTTTCATGTTAAATATTGCCATGCTCCATCCAAGAAATTTGCTTTGATTCTATTTTATGCAGGTAAATAGTTTTGAGAAAATCTAAAATGAGTTTCTCACTTCATTCCAGCTAACCTCCAATTGATTTATTTTTCTCTAGTTACTTTGTCTTAATGATATACACTTCTTAACTATAGTCCTTTACCAGGCAAGTGCTTTTATTATAGTAAATGGGATTAAAGATAAAAACTATGCTTATAAGTTTGCAATACTGGCATTTGAGACCCCAGACGTGAAGCTGAGCTGTACAAGCCCGGCTTATGTAAACTTTCCAAGGGCTTTAAAATGTGTATCTAATTATAGAAGGTTAAGTATACTGGATTTAATTTTTTTTTCTCCTCCTAAGGCCATGTGGTTATGATATTATTGAGATTCCATAATGCCTCCTGCCGTGACAGACAGCCTTGACATCTGGGCAGTGGATTCGCAGATTGGTGCTGATGGCTCAATATCTGTGGACTTCCTGTTGCCCACTGGAATCTACATCAACCTGGATGTCCCTCGAGATGCCACCATATCTCATATTAAACAGGTAATACCAAATGGTCAGTTAACTTAAAAGTTAACCTAAATTTGGGATGAGTGCTCTTCCTAATTTTTATGTGCCTTTTGGCAAACCAAGTAATGAATATGAGTGGGTGTAAGAAGTAATGTACTGCAGGCATGTGTATAGCAGACTGATTAATAAAGATGTATGTGTGGCTGGGGGCTTAGAATGTTTTGGGGCAAGGTTCAGAGAAATTGCTTTTTGCTGATGGTTACCCTTCAGCAGAGATTATTCTAGTAGCTCTATAGTAATACTGTATTGCTGCATTTGACCTTTTTCTAATACATGGCTAACACATCCTGTGTTGATTTAACATGTCTCTGAGTGTGCAAACAGAAGATGCTGTGTCTGATTGGGCTGCTAGCACAGAAGTCACAGATTGTGCTCTTTCTTCCTTTGATTGGCATCAAAGCTTTAAAAACCATGTGTGACACTTCTTAAAGGCTGTGCACATGTGCCTTGTGAGGGCATCACTTAAAAAGTCAGGGAATACTCAAAACAAGGGGAGCAGGTAAGCAAATAACCAAAGATATTAAAGAATAATCTACTGACCTGTCACTAGGTAACAGCCATGTGGGACATTTAGACACGTTACCGTGGAATTAGGTAATGGGTGAATTACAACACCTAGTAATCTGCTCCTTTAGCTTAATAAACATGTAAAAGAAAACAAAGTGGTGTGATTCTCATTCCGTTGCATTGCCTGGTAAATAAGTCCATGGTTTTCCATTCCTGTTCAGTCTGATGATATTCACCTGTTTATAGAAGTTATTTTCTTTGTATCATTAGTAGGTTAATATCCTTTACTGTATTCCTAATATGAAACTTTCTGGACACTGAATTTTTTTTTTTTAATCCACTTAGTATTTTAGAATATACAAGCATGCCACTAGAAATTGAAGTCATCTGAGAAAGAAGTTTTGTGCTATACTCAAATACTTGAAATAATTCTGACTGGAAAAATCAAATTGTTATTTTAGTAAAGGGGTAACCTGAGCAACTAGAGGTTAGTTGCTGGGTAAGGTAATGGAATAGCCACTAGTGATTTCAGCTGATAAAGAATTTAAAAACCAAGCATGTCAGTGGCAACAATAAAGGACTTGAACTGGGCTGTCTGGTTTTCTTGATGGTTGTGACACATTGCAACTTAATGTGCTATAAACAGGTACTGTTGCAATTTAGCTGTGTGTCAAAGAGAAGGAATGTTGATCGTAACAGAGATCTTTCTTGGAAATTGCTCTATTTTAAAACTAAACAATAATGAAGACTGGAATGGGACACTGGCTTAGGAGCTTTGCTCCCACCACATTGCTGTGATAAGCCTGAATTTGTGGGCCCTTGGATGTATAAATAGAGCAAATATAAGGAGTTTATCTTGTACGTGAAACTGTCAAGATTACAATAAGAGAAAAGATGAAAAATAGGAAAAAAAAATAGAAGAAAACTTATTTGAGAGCTGAAGAATTTTTCATTTCCATAGACTTTCTAATTTTACCAGGCCAGTTCTTTGGGTGATGGCCACTGGCTGCTTTCAGTGGAACTTAGTTTCAGGGATTTCATGGCTTTTTAAATTTCACAATCATTGAGCGATATAATAAGTACTAGTAGATTGAAATTGCAGTTAGACAACTCAGAGGGGAAAAAAAAGAGGGACAGATTTTTATTGACTGTAGCTATTGGAGAAAAACACAGAGGCAGTAATAGGCTTCATCTTTTGATACCTTGGAAGTGGCAATTTTTGCTCTACACCAAAGGTAGTTGTTGGATTCAGCTCGAGCTCAGCAGACAAAATATACTGGAATACATTTCTGGAAGTCAGAATTTGTTGTACAAATCTATGAAATCTACATGCAGATGTTTGGCCGAAGGCGTTCAGTTCAGCTTCGGTTGTTTGAGAAGAGATTTTTGCCATTCGTTATAGTTCCTGCAGTTCCTCTTTCAAAATAAGTTTCAGGACTTTATTGATTTTCTTTGCAGCTGTTATGGAAGCAGGCACATGCCTATCCACTCTTTCATCTCCTCATGGAGATTGACTCTTACATGTTCTCGTGCGTGAATCAGACTGCTGTACACGAAGAGCTAGAGGATGAAACACGGAGACTTTGTGATGTTAGACCCTTTCTTCCTGTCCTTAAACTAGTGACAAGAAATTGTGATCCAGGAGAAAAGTTGGATTCCAAAATAGGTGTCCTTATAGGCAAAGGTAATTATTTTAATTTTTTTTTATATATAAAAGAAAGTAACTGTTTTATGTGGGCATCTTCATTGAGCAGGTAACAATGGAAACATTTGGAAAAAAATTAAAAAGTATTTCCCTGACAGAATTTCTCTTTCTCAGTCTAACACAGTTCTATTTAAAAGAATATAAACACTCAAGGTGAAACATTTGAAAGCTGTTGAAAGCTACTTTCTGTGTTGTCTTTCAGCACTGTATTGTATTACTATATCACTCAAGAGCAAATTTTGTCTTAATAGATGAGGGGGAAAAATCTATGCTATTATTGCTAAGTAAGGGAAAGGATAATCCCTGAAAATTGTTACCATGACTAGCAGCAAACTGGATACACAGAGGGAAGTAGAAATTACGATGGGTTGGTTATACATTATTTCTGAGCTTGTTAATGATATGATTCTTGTTTTTGCTCTCAATTGTGGCACTGATTTTCAGCAAACAATGAAAAGCTATTTTTAAAGGTTTCACAGTAACTTGTTCATGATGTTATTTCAGAATTTTCAGCTTTTAAATCTACTCTGCTTGGTTATACAATCGAGATTGACAGGGTCCTGTGAGGTCATACCTCTTGTTTAGAAACAATGACCCATTGTTAGGTCTTTTATAAAGACTGCAGGTTTTGTTTAGATTTCAGCAGTACACTGTCTGCCTGTTTGTGAAAGCTGACAATGGAAACAGTCAGCCAGTTTAACCATTCAGACAGATTCTGACAGATTCTGAGAGATTCACATTCTCTGATTGAATATTTTGTTTATTATAGCTGTGTGAGATCCTTCCTTACGCAGCCCCTACTCTGTACCTTAGCAGTGGAAAAAATGTGTTCCTGTCTAAGATTTTAAAGCGTGTTTTGTTTTCAAAAGGTGTTCAGTGCTTTGTGTGTGGTTTGGACAATGTCCTTCAAAGTTTGGGAGTAAAAGAAAGAAACACTTGCAGGCCCTTTACATCCTGAAGTGCTGAAGAATCACAGCTGTACGGACCCTCCGCTGTGTATTCTCTCTTTACAGATCTTGGAAAAGGAACTTTGCTGATCCTGGATTGGTTGAAATTTCCGTGCTCTCATTTTGAATTGAGTAGGAGATTTTAATCACAAATAGAATTCAAGAATAAATGTATCTATTTATTGTTCCACTATGGGTTTTTTGACTTTTCTATGGGGTTAAAAGTAGTTTGCAAACATTTCTTTCACCCTGAGGTCTTTCTGATGCATTTGCTTTCTTCGCATTTGCTCTTGTGAGGAGAGACTTAAAACTTTCCAAACTAACTGTCACGTAGGGTGTGGGTGGCTCACCCAGTTAGTAGTCCCTAAGGGAGACATTAGTTCTTGCTTTTTAAACTAAACTCTTGTACCAGGTTGCATGGGAATTGTGGAAGTAACTTTGGAAGTCCACTGATGTACAGGAGAATGCAGAACTCAGCTGACTTCTGAGCACGCATTTGGATGGAATGTCTGTAGAAAACCACTTATGTAACCTTAACTTTGAGAGAATAAAGGTTTGAATGGGATGGTAAATAGATGGGTGGAGTTTGTACAGTTATGTATCTTTTGCTTGATTCAATTCTCTCAGGTCTCCACGAGTTTGATGCCTTGCAAGATCCTGAGGTGAAAGACTTCCGAGCTAAAATGCGGCGAATCAGTGAGGAAAAGATTCAGTCGCTTGTGGGTCTTTCCTGGATGGACTGGTTAAAGCACACTTACCCTCCAGAACAGGAACCTGTCATCCCAGAGAGCTTCCAAGATAAGCTCTACAGTGGAAATCTTGTAGTGGCTGTTCATTTTGATAACTGCCAGGTAGGAATGGTTCTTCATCACATTTCACGTAACGGTTCTTGATCCTGATCTGAATTAGCACGTGTTTGATCAAGGATGTGAATGACAGAAGACCAACATTGTTGTGTTTGCCAGGACTTTTTGGCCAGCTGTTGCTATGTTCCTTGACTAACATTTTAGTTTTGGGCTTAGAGGATGCTGATGAATTGGGAGGCACCATACTCAGCACACTTCTGTGTGTGGTTCATTGCTGAACATCTTCAGGGCTGATGTGCTGATTAAGCTGAGTGATAAGTTTTAAAAAAGAGGAATTGGTATTCCCTGTGCTAGACGTGCATATAGACAAAGCACTAGCTGAGACTCAATTATTTCAGCTAACAAATCCAAAGCTTGTTTTTAAAATCAATACCCTTTTAGTTGCCATCTAAAATGAACTTCAACATAAAAAAAAAAACCAAAACTATTAAGCTATGATTCTACTTGAGTCCAGAATTCCCATTATTCAGTTTTGCATTGTGTTCTCTTGGGTAACAGGGATCAATGTTGGAAGCCTTAAAAATCTCAGGAGTGTGTAAATAGATCAGGATATATATTATGTCCATTTTGACCTAGGTGCTAGACATTGATTTTTCTAATGGTTCAGCTGATTTTATTTACAAAATGGTATTTCTGATGCTGTCTTTTTTAACTTAAAAAATCCAAAATGGTAAAATTGTTTATGACTCTGGAAAGAGTAAATGCAGAAATTAATACTGAATTGGGTCACCAGTAACGCTAGCTGATGATGCATGCCTAGATGTGTTTATAAGAAAACATCTTTCCAGTCCTCTTTAGCTTAGTAGTTGTCCAGGAGTGAGACTATCTGTTGTGTTTGCCAGCTTTCAGTTAAAACGTTGTATATATATGCATATGGTGACAGTACAAAAGCAGTGCAAAAGTTCATGCTGGTGCAGAATGTGTTCGCCTGCCCCTGTAATAGCTTAGGCTGCTGACATTTCAAATGTTTCAAATGCTTCTGCTGCCAGTTCTGACCTTCAAAGCCATTAACAGTTCAGCTCTGAGCTGCTTTGCAGAGCAGTAAACTCTGTTCCGGAGTTCACTCCTGGCACTGAGTCCTGGAACCATCTCAGAATGAAGTAGGCAGGTGTGGGGAATGTTGTGTCCTTTCAGTAGGAATGCTGCAAGACTGAGAGAAGGGAGCATTGAAATACTTGTCTAGGATGCACGGCTGAGCTGTAAAAGCTGCCTGTGCCTCTCTGGAGCAAGAGAAAGAGACTGCTCCCCATTTCTGTGACATACGTGTAAAGACTACAATTTGGGAAACAGGCAGCTGTCATAGAGCACCAACGTCCTGGGAAGAAAAGGTGTCATTCCCTGTCTACCTACCCTGTCACCTAGTTGTGATAGGAGCAGAAAGCCTGCATGGTTTGGCAGCTTTCTGACAGGGGAAGCTGTTGTGAACCATGCAGAAACTGAGAAAATGCGGAATTATTTTCGCCTGATGTAACAGTGTTAGATTTTTCTATCAGGGCAACTTGGCTTCTTGCCAGTAAACTTCTATATAAATAAAGCTCAAGTCAAAAGAATGTTGGCCAGGCAACACTTCACATCTGTAAAAACCTGCTTTTAGAATGCTTACATCTTCAGGAGTGTGTGTGAATAAAAATCAAAACAAAAACCTGGAACTTGCTGAATCAGCCTTTGCAGATAAGCGTGTGCAGAGCATAACATGGTAGATTAAGGGAGATGAAAGTCTTCACAGAAGACCTTTTACATGGGAACTTTAAACCTTTTTTCTTAATTTGTAAAAAGGAAGGTGACTTACCTTTACCTTTTTAGAACACATCAAAATTAGAGATACTTTGGAAATGCTTAGATAGCCTCTAAAGATTTGATTAAAAATTTCCTTTGAAAATGCAGAGTCATAAAATTGGAGTCTCATTAAGGTTGGAAAAAACCTCTAAGATCAAGTCCAACCCTCAGCCCAACACTAAACCATGTTCCAAAGTGCCACGTCTACATGTTTTTTGAGCACCTCTAGGGGTGGTGACTCCACACCTCCCTGGGCAGCCTGGTCCAATGCCTTACCAAGTCTTTCCATATTGTCTTCAGAATGCTGCAGGTACTGGCTGCTACTCCTCTTTTCTGCACTCCTCCAAATAAGATGGTGTTTTTGCACATAAATCACATGAACAGTTTCGTCTGCTTTGTTACCCGAAACTTTCTTGTTCTTCTGAGTACAGTAGCCCCTAGCCAGAGGATAACTTGCTAGTGGCCAGAAAGAAGAAGAAAAAAAAAAGAAAGACGAAAACTTAACACATCAAGGAGTGCTAAATACCTTGAAATGTAGGCATTATTTTTCTCCCTCATTCAGGTTCTAAAATACAAGCTTCTAGATTAGTGTCCTGATTGAGAAGTCTTTAAACTGCTCCTGAATCCACTAGATGAAGTTATGTGTTCTTAAAAGCACTTCTGATGCTATAAAAGTTTGGGAGTTGACTATTTTGCAGCTTTTAGGGTGACTTTTGTTCTGATGGCACTGAATGAAGATGTAGGGATTAACTGCAAGTGTTAGAATAGTTCAACCTATCTTATTGTGTGTGCCACAGTTTAAGACTTGTACCTCAGACTGTGACAATTTTAACATTTGCCATTCCTGTTTGTGTTTTGTTAGGATGTTTTTAGTTTTCAGGTGTCTCCTAACATGAATCCCATCAAGCTGAATGAGCTAGCAATCCGAAAACGTTTGACTATCCATGGAAAGGAAGATGAGGAAGTTGATCCTGCTGACTATGTGCTGCAAGTTAGCGGACGGCTAGAATATGTTTTTGGTGATCACCCATTAATTCAGTTCCAGGTACACAACACTCTTCGGATCTTGGCATAACAGGAGTTTGGGGTCTGGGACAAAATTTGCCCCTCTTCCCTGTGCCATTAGATGGCCAGCTATGCCGAGCAGTAATACACTTCCTCCTCATGGCTGCAGCCCTCTCCAATTGGAAAATACATGCGACCACTTCTGTATCTTAGTAATACATTTTATTTGATATGAAAGTTGCCTTAGAAATAGTCTGCTAGCTGGTAACAGCTGTTTTCCATGGGCTTTCAGTATATACGCAACTGTGTGATGAACAGGACTCTTCCTCAGCTGACTCTGGTTGAGTGTTGCACCATAAAGAAAATGTGTGAGCAAGAGATGATTGCTGTAGAAGCTGCCATAAACCGAAAATCATCCAACCTTCCTCTTCCTCTGCCACCAAAAAAAACAAAAACAACAACTGTAAGTTGATACAGAAAGTATCTAATGCCCCAAAGTAGCAGTGACTTGTGGAATATAAATTGCACTGGGGAGGTTGTTGCAGAGAACCTGGGTTCTCCAGCTTTGGAGTGATGTGTGGGCTCCACTAGCGTGGGCAGTAGTGCTCTGTGACCTCTTGTCTTCGCCCAGATAGCTTGTGTGATGTTGCCACTTCAGTCATGGCAACTTTTGGACATCTTATATGCTCTTATAGTTATGATAACCAATTTATTTTTTAAGATTACTAATTAATATTTTTTTAAATGTATCTTTTTTAGTTTGTATTTGACTTTTTCTTAAAATGCTTAGCTTATAAAATAGATCTTAATATGTTACATTGTTTAAGAATGAATTAGTGTCTTTGTTTCCCTTCTCAGAGTGTATGGGATATTTCCAACCCTTTCAAGATTATTCTGTTAAAGGGTAACAAACTCAACACAGAAGAAAATGCCAAAGTAAGTAACTATGCCTGTTATCCAGAGATGTTCTGTTCATCATTTTAATGATTTGCAATGTTTTGTGAACTCAGAATAGTACACGTTTCAATTCAGAAAAAGTGTGAGTGTTTTTATTTACTCCCAGTGATATTGGTAGTACTGGATAAAATCTTGCTTTATTGCTCGAGTATTGCTCTGTTGTCTGAAGCTGGATGTGTGTGTTAGAACACTACCAATAATCATGGACAGGACACAGGTGTTCACATGGTACTGGATTTTTTTTGAGGTGGAACCTATAAAGTACCGATGTTGGTGTGAAATAAGCTTATTCAAACTGTCATAAACATCTGACAGTATCAGAAGTAGATTTTAAATAAAGAGTTCTCAGCTGAACATAAGGTATTTTTGCAGTCCAGAATATTTTCTCTGTGTGTCTAAGCATGGCCTGCACGGTTTTATGCAATCTGTCTTTTATTTTCTAAATATGCTGAACACAAAAAAGCTGTAGTATTGCTTCCTGTAAAAATGTACATGACTGGGCTACTGACTGTTTACAGACCACAAGTTGTTAACACATGGGAATTTATTGCACAGCTACTTCAAGGCCTTACAAGACACTTGCATGTGAGAAAGAAGAATATTAATTTCCTTGATTTTGTTTGGTAATCAATAAATCCTATAGCCAGTCGTGTAGATTAGGAAGAAATGCAATTAGCCATTGAAGTTTGCTGTTCTGATGCTTTATTCAGGACAGTGGGTGTGGGTTTTTACTTTGATAACTACTGTGACTGCTTCGTTGTGTACTAGCAGTACTACACTTTACTACATAGCTAAGTGAGCCACAGTTACAGCTTTACTACCTGAGATACTGTGGCTGTGGAAATAGGTGCAAAGATGTTTCCCTTTGCCTAAGCCATTATTTAGCTAGTTGTAGCATCTTCTTATCTACAGTTTTTAGACTCTCAAAATTTGTAAAAGACAAAGGAAAGGTAAAGACAAAGTGGATGCCAGAAGCAACGTAGCTGTCAAGTTGTGGTTTGTTTGGCTGGTGATTTTTTTTTTTTTTTTCCCCCTATTTACAAAAGGTGAGTTTCAGTTAATTTCATTGGGCTTTTAAAAGAAAAAGAAAATATCTTTGACAGTTCTTTGATATTGGTACCTGTGGATACTATCTAAACATGATTTAGTATATTGAATGCTTTTCAGTCTTGAAAACGTTGAAGTCCTGTAGCCACCCGAGAACACAAATGCATGTAGTAACCCTGCAGGCTCGTGAGTGTTTCCCTGTGTTGTCTGTCTGTGCTAGTGTGGAATTATCACTATTGGGAATGTGTTTATTTCCTAGTCCTGACTCTAAAGCTGTTTAATTCACTGCCATTGTTCTTTTAGTTTCATTGTGCTTTGGATCAAGCCAATATTCATCCACTTTTGCTGAAACCACCAAAAGGGTTGATAAATGCAGTGTTTGTAGTGGGAAACAAAACATTTGTCAGATGGGTAGCACTCCACTAATGTGAGCTGGATTGAGTATTTTCACCTACAGCACAAGAGACTTCATTCAGCTGTCACCCAGTTTTCCAAAACCATGACATTTGAAATTGCTTTTCTTTTGTCTTGCTCTTTGGCTGCACCATCGGTACATCCCGTTGCATTGGTGAAAGGGGAGTGTCAGAATGAAAAGAACAAAATTAGGATCCAATCCCTTATGTTAACAGGATTGGCAAGAGACAAGCAAAATAGCAATGTGCTCCAACAATACAGTGCTTTGTACTAGCTAGTTTTACCTGATCACCTCTGCTTTTTATATTAATAAAGGAAAAGTCAGGAAGTGTGGTGGCATATAAAGTTCTAATATGAGGTGATAGCAAATCTGAGAACAATATCCAAAATTGTGCAAATGTGAATTTAAACCCCTGGTTTAAAAACAAAACAAAACCCTAACAGGCAAATTCTGTAGTATTTGCTGTTGCTGGTGTTAAAGCACAAGCAGCTAATACACCAGATGTAGTCATATTCCCATAAGATATCTTTAAATCAGCAAAGGAATTTGATTATAAACTCAGTTGAACATACAGTGAATCTCCAAATGAATTAATAAAGGACCATCTGGTGAATTTTTTCAAGGTTATGAACCAACTGATTTTCAGTTCTCTGATATCCACCACTGTATTTCCTTTTTCAAGAATATGAAGCTACAATCTTTAATTACAGAGAAATAAAAAACCCTTGGAAATGTAATCAACAGGAACTGATTGTGCATACGTATATAGTTACATATGGGTATGCGCACGTCTGGTCTGCATACATTTGCCTCCTGAGGTTAGGTTACTTTCATGTCATCTCTTGTGTGGATGTTTATGTTGCTGTTCTTAACTCACAGTGGGTCACAGAGATGAAGCTGTACATGCCAAAACTGGCTGCTAGTGGGGTTTATGAGTATCTCCAGGACACAAGTGAATGTTGTTTTCTAAACTGAACTTTTTTTTCACTGATTGTTTGTAAGCTTGGGAATGAAACTGGATTGGATATGTGTAAGTCAAGAAGGTAGTTTAATAATGGATGTTCCTGTGGCACCTTTATCAGGGTAACCCATAACAGCATGTTCTCCAAGACCTAAAGCTTCTGCCAGTTCTGAGAGAGCCATCAGTGGTAGTGATTGTTAGAGAGAAATCCAGGGTGATCAGAATGGGTGTTAGTTGGAGACCATCTGTTGATGCTGCTGATGCCTTCTGCAGGGATTTTTTCTGGGCTGAAAGGAGAAATGCTCTCTAGCAGGACTTCTTTCAAACTGTATTACAACTTGCCAACAACTAGTTCTTCAGAATGGAGAACTTAGCAATGAGCAGTAGTTGGTGTAACCAAAAAAGATAAATTGAGACGGGGACTGCTTCCGTGTTCATCCCACTGTTGTATCTTCAAAGGAAGGAAAGATCCTCTCTCTCTCAGAACTGATCTTGTCTGTGTCACTTGGGAATTCAGAGGTGGATTTTTTTAATCCAAAACTTGTACCAAATTTTAAATGTCTCTGCCTTTCCCTTCCAGTGCTTAAAAACAATCCAGTAGCTTGAAGTGAATGTTGGCAAGGTTGCTTGAGGAGCATAGGGGACCTGAAACATAGTTCACCTCTTACTCATTTAACCATAACATGAAGAACTTCTTTTTGATGTGGACCAAAGGATGATATCGTAGGGCTTTCTCTCTTTGTTATTTCCTCTCCCCACTCTTTTTTCCTGTCTTCCTTTTGGTTTTTTCTTTGTCTTTTTTTTCTCTTTTTTTTTTTTTTTTTAACACTGATATTTTGGAATGACACCTGTTATTAAACAGAAGTGCAGAAACAAGCCACATCTTCACATTGACCTGTAGTGTGTTTCATTTCAGTGCCAATAACTTCAGCTTCTTTGTCTTCTTGCCCTTCTCCTTTCCTGTTCATTATTTTTATCATTCAGGCTAGCTGAATTTTTTTTTCCTATTCTTTCTGGGTGCTAAAGACAAATGAGAATTCCTGGAAGTTATGTACATTGTAGTTATTATTACAGGGAATTTCTGATGTAAGGGCCAGCAGTGTTCCCTCTGTGCATTTTTTTCAACAGTTTATATAAGAAATTAATTTTTTCTTTTGGTGAAAACACCCAAAACTTTTGAGTTACTTACAGAACCAACACTCAATATTCATTGTAAAACCTCAAAATTGATATTTCTTTTAAGGTAGAAGTATTGATGAGAGGTGTGTATGTATGTTCTGTATAATATTCCATGCAGAATTCTTTCTGTTCTGTGGCAAGCTTAAAATTTCTAATTCCTTTATTACAGGTACACGTTAGGGCTGGTCTTTTCCATGGTACAGAGCTCCTTTGTAAAACTGTAGTGAGCACAGAAATATCTGGGAGAAGTGACCACGTTTGGAATGAAGTCCTAGAGTTTGAGATAAATGTCTGCGATCTCCCGAGGATGGCAAGGCTCTGCTTTGCAGTTTATACTGTCATGGATAAAATGAAAACTAAAAAGTCAACCAAGGCAATGAATCCTTCCAAATACCAAACCATTAGGAAAGCAGGAAAAGTGGTAATTATTTCATTTGGTTTTCTTGAGTGTCCCTTTGAATTAGTTGGAAATGAGTATTCAGAAATCTTTCATTGAACTCCCTTCAGTTTTTAAGTATGAAAAATTCAAAGAAAAAAAGCATGTATATTAAGAATTGATAAGAATTGTATGATTTTTGTACATCTTTGTATGAAAAAAGCTTTTCATATATCTCAGACTCTGACAGATGCATGAAAATTTTGATTGTAAGCCAGTTGGCAAATGGCTGTTTAAAGAATTGTGTTTTAAAAGGTCAGTTTTGTTCTGAGCTCTAGATGAGTTGTGACTGGGAAAAGATGAAAACCAATCAGCATCTAGGCTCACATTCAGTGACCTGCCTGTTTTTACACTGGCAGAGTGACACCCTTAAAATTAGGTCTTGCTGTCCTCAGCAGTACTGGAGTAGATAATGGAACACTATGCATGTGTTTAACTGCTTTTCTGAAAGGTGTCACCATTTACAAAAACCTAGCCCTCCCTCTGAATTTTACTTACCTTGTAGTGCATAGCATAGTAATGTTCACTGGCATCTTAGTTTCTGTGTAAAAATTCTTTCCTTCCCAGCATTATCCTGTAGCCTGGGTGAATACCATGGTGTTTGATTATAAAGGGCAGCTGAGGACTGGAGAGCTGGTTCTGCACAGCTGGTCGTCGTTTCCTGGTAAAGTTTAACTTGGTTTAGACTTTAAATGCTTAGAAGACGAAAGAGGATTGATAGCAAATAGTAGAATATTTGCTGTATACATGTCCAATTCTCCTGCCATAATCTCTTCACTGCTTGTATTTTTTATGTGGATAAATATACGATGTCTTAATCTCTTTCCTGAGAGTATTATGTATCGGGAACAAGGAAGGGCAAAAATCTGCTTGTAAATAAAATTGTAAGAGTTTTATCTGTTAAGGAAGGAAAACCACATTCAAATATGTATCTGTTTTTTATTTTCATGTAGTGTTACCTGTTCTTAAGGTGTGGTGTAGGTCTTCCTTGCTTGCCTGTGCTATGCAACCTAAGCTAAGTAGATAGCCTATATTGCATGTGACAGTATTTACATCAGCAAAAAAATGTGAATGAGAAGGGTTTTTTCTGTGTCTTCTTTCCCTGGTATTTGAATTGATTAGTAAGAGTAAGCAATTCTTGTTGTGTCTTTGCATTTCAGGTTTTTTAGTTGTCGTGCACACCTGCTCTAATAATGCAATACTAATTATTCTGTCTGATGTTTCAGATGAACTTGAAGAAATGTTGAATCCAATGGGAACCGTCCAGACTAACCCTTACACTGAGAACGCAACGGCTTTGCACATTAGGTTTCAGGAGTATTCCAAGCAGCCTGTCCATTACCCTCCCTTTGACAAGGTGAGGGGTGACATAAAGAGCACTCATGAATGCTCCCATGGACATAGCTGTTTCTTTCCTTTCAACACTGCCTTTTCCCCCAAATTCCCCGTGCCCTGCTTTTGAGTTAAGATACTACAGACCTTTAGATTTGTGCTGCGTGAGTGCCAGTGCTCTGACTTCAGAGTATTCAAAGAGTATTTTGAAGGTGTGTGCTTTTAAAAACACTCTATCCATAGTCTCTTGAGGATGTATAATACACTTGAGAAGTGTAATCGGTGTCCCGTATCAATGACCTTACAGAAAGCTAAATTTATCTGCCATTCTGGAAACCTTCAAACTGTGCTTGCCTGGGATCTGTGGGGATGGGTTATTTTTTTTGTACAAATGCGTGTTACCCATACTGGAATGCTGCTTTCCTCTATGAGTTAAAATCCTTTTAAAGATAAACAGACTCTTAGTACTGTGTGAAAAGAGTTCTCAAGGTCTGCTCTTGAACTAAATCCACTTAAGTTGCCCTGCAGTGTTCTACAGATAGAGGTAAGAATGTCTGTCTAGAAAGGAAATTTGTATTTGGAGTACTCGTGGTGACATCTTCAGCATGATCACTAGGTAGCAAGTTGTTCACAAACCAGCAAATAAAGCAAAGACTAGGAAGCAAGGAATAAAACAAGTGTTAAAACAGACAGCTAATGATGCTTTCAAAAAACAAAAGTTTGACTTCTACATAAGTTAGTCTGAATTTTGCTTTTGGGAAAGTTAATAACCACTTAGAAAACTGCCTCTTTTTATTTTTCCTTTCTGAAGATTCTGCACCTTGGCATTTAATGTTCATCAAAATGAAATCAAATAACAAGATAGGGGTTGATTTTCGGGGTGTGGTGTGTTTTTTTGTTTTGTAGATTGTTGTTTTGGGTTTTTTTGGTTGGTTTTTTTTTTTTTTTTTTTACTCCTTGTCAGCACAGTTCTCGTTCTTGTATTGAAACAGCATTGGAAATGCCATGAGATGAAACAATACTGATTAATTGCTGCCTTAATTGTGGCTGACCAGTTTACTTTTCATACTGGACATGTTTTAGTCAGTTTTATTAGCTTATTCATAATGCTTTAAATTTTTTGCTCATGACACGTATTTGTTCGAGCTGTATTGTTCCTTCTATTCGTACCTGCAGCACCAAGCTTTTGGCATGATAAAATGCTGGGGTGAATACAGATAAAAGGTTTTACTGAGTAAGTTAAGGTAATGTCTGGTGGTCTTCACCATCCCTTATAACTTGTGTTTGCTGATGGCTTTTTTTATTTTGTGGCTTTCCCCCATCTTGAACTGTACGTGAGAAATGCAGCATATCAGATAGAGGAAAGCCCCAGAGCATCTTTATGAAGTGATTACAGAGCTAGTAATAAAACGCTCGGTGGTTGGACTTGATGATCTTGGAGGTCCCTTCCAACCTAAATGATTCTATGATTCATTGAAAGCATTCAACTGTGAGAAAATCCTACAAAATGTGCTGCTGCCTTTTTTTTTTTTTAGCAGCTCTTATTTTTTCCAGGAGCTTTGGCAGCTTGCAGTTCCCTAGAGTTAATAAACTGTTTTGCAGTGCCACTGGGAAAACCAGAGCTCTAAACTCCTTGAAAATTCAGTCAATTTCTGTGCATATGCAGAAATTTCTCCCTCAGAAAAGAGAGTAAAAGAGGATATCTCTGAAAGTTTCTCTAGAAGAGGGTCCTGTTGAATGGGGAGTAACATCATAGCTACTTGAATTATATCAGTTGAGAATCTGTTTTTCAAAACTACCTAGATGTGACTTACTTGGTGTATGGCTGCTTCTAATTTTCCCAGTGTTGTTGCTTGTTTCTGCCAAAGAAATGGAGAATCGGATGCCAGATCTTTATTTTTAAAAATATCACGTGCAAAAACAGATGAAGTTTTTCAAATATAGTATCAGTCCTCTTGATGTGAACAGCTGTTTGGTGCCGAGTAAGCTGAAGTGCCCTGACAATAGATAACAAAACTGTTGTCTAATGAAGGACCTGGATATTGGGCTAGTTCATGGTGCTCTGAGGGGCTCCTTGTTCAGCTGAGCAAAGCTGGACTTGCAGAAACTTCCAAAGTTTGCTTGCAAACAGAGTAACTAAAAAGTACAAGGAGGCAAACATCAAACAGGGAATTAGGCTGTTGTGGCTTTGTTTATGCATGTTTTCACACACAGTGTGTAAACAAGCTTTGTAGCCAAGTAGCAGATGTCGTACATCATATTAACAAACATTTCATATAGAGCAAGAAATAAAACAAGTTAAGGCACCTTTTTAAGGGCTTTAGCTGCTGGGTATTTATGTTCTGATTATTGTAGTCTTTTGTTGTTTCTCATTTTGCTTGAGTAAAGACAATGCAAGTCTTGCTGAGTCTGTCTCTGGGGGTGATATTATATGCCTGGGGAGAGGCAGACCTCTGAGGGGAAGGGGATGCTGTGGTTCTGTAGACTTTCTGTTTTATGGAATAAACTGTAGATACACTGACCTGAACAATTCAGCTGGTCAAATGAACTTAGTCACCATTCTAACACCTCTCTGTTGGATGCAGTAGAGTGCAGAACATAGCTGAAGAACTGTTTAGATCTGTACTTTACTACCCATCATGACTCAGTACGTGAACTTTAAAAACTTCAGTGGAACATTCAAAAGGAGCGGGGGGGGAGTAATTTAGAGCTGAGCTTCTGGGGGAATGTTGCTTTGCTCTTAACAAAAGTGGCAGCCCTGGCTCCTGAGGGTGCTCTGTATTAACTGGTGCTGGGAGCTTGATGGTGGAGTATTCACTTTGTCAGTAAAGGAGTTCTTGTTGGAAGCTGGTTGTTCATGACATTACAGAAGGGAACTGTAACTGCAAACACTGAGGTCATAGGGGCAATCTGGGAGGATGGTGAAAAGACTGAGTTTGTGGATTCATGTGGAAACAGCAGGCTAAAGGTGTGGATCTGTGGGTAGCAGGTGTGACTCATGAAAGCAGTGTCCTTGAGAACTGCAGAAGTAGAGATGAGAAAGCAAAGGATGTTTTAGAGTTGAGGAATTGGTTTGCTGTTCTGAGAAATAAGGAGGAAATGCAGACAGCAACAGAAAACAAGATGCAATAGGGAAGATCAGTTAGCCCAGGAGTGGTGAAGAAGAAAATGGAGATAAATCACGAGCACTCCTATTCCTGGTCTACATAGTCCTGCAGATTAGAAGAGCAGCACCGCATAGAAGTCCATGTTATATAGCACAGTATATACAAAATAATAGTGTTGTAATGCTCTAAAAGGTAGCAAAATTTCCTCAACTACTTAATTTCTATAAATCTATTCTTTCAGTGCAGTCAGATTTGTTTTTAAATCTAATGTACTTAAAAATGTCTTTTTCAGATACTTGAAAAGGCAGCTGAGATTGCAAGAAGCAGTGACAACGCTGCAATGGCGGTAAGCAGCTGCTAAAAACGACTTTAAAATTCAGTTTCTGGTTTTTTTTTTTTTGTCTACGTCTATCTAGAAATAAATAAGTCAGCTGCTCAAATAGCAGTGGTTCTACTCACTCTGTTTTCTGATGTGATTCGCTTTGGTGATCTACTTTAAAACTCAGGTGTATATCCACTTTTTCCAGTGTCTTTTGGACTTGACTGTTTTGTGTCAAGAAGGATAATTCTTCTACGTACTGTATGGATCTGGAACACAACTGAGCTTTACATTACATCTGGATCTGGAACACATTCCTAAGCTGCATCAAATACTGCTAGGAAATTTCTCAACTTTATCAAACATGATCATTTACTTGATTGTCAGATGTTCCAAATAGGCTCTTTCAGAAACGGTCATTGATCTATAAGATGTTGTTTCTTGAATATGAGGATTATATGCTATTCTTGAGGAACTGGAGACTTGGAACTTGAAGACAAATTTTGAAAAGATCACCAAAATCTGAAGGCGTTTTCTTTTTATTATATACAAAAATACAGAAGATTGCAATTTAAGATGATGAAAGCACAGTTGGCTCAACAGTAATTTATAATAAATTTAAATTAAATTTAAATAAAACAACTGCATTTCATATAAGAATGGAATTGGAAGAACATCAGTTACAATGCCAGGTGCATGAAGTGCTTGGGAAAAGTGAGGATTCACTGCTGCTGAGGGTGCAAAGCATGTAGTGCACAAATAATGGGAAATCTGCAATAGCAGGATGCCAGCCTGACAGTATTGAGACTTCTGATTTGAAAGATGAACATTTGTGGATAAAAGAATCACTTCTGATCAAGGCTGTGTGCTTATTTTGATATCGAGACAGAGTATCACTTAGTTGTATTGCAATGTTTGTTTAGTACAACTAGCTTTTGGAAGTCTATTCACTCCTAAAGACTTTATGCTTAGGTGTTGTTTTTCCATGAAGATGTTTACTTAAAACTTTTCAGCAAAATACAAGGCTCAGGCACTTATCATTTCTAGAAGCAGCTAAATGTAAATTCTGTGTGTGGCAGATGTATTTTTTGTCAGGTAGGAAACCTGACAAAAATTCTCTTTGGTTTTTGTTGGAGATGGTGGGGTCTTTTGGCTTTTATTTTTTTAAAAAAATGTGTTTAGACCTATATATGTTAAATTTACTTGATTGAAAAACAAAAAGGATGGACTATGTGCACCCTGAATGAAAGTTGTCCATGTTAGAGCTGGGAAATAGAAATATTGCCACCTAGTGTCATTAGCTCTAAAGTTTAGTTGCTTTTTCAGAAATTTCTGAACACTGAATTTTGAATCTACAATTCTTGTAGCTTAAGAAATCTGAAAGGAAGGCACAGTATCGTTCCCGTGTTTCATGAGTTTTATCTGATGTTCTTAGTGGTGTAAGTTTCCAGTATCTGAGCTGCAATATTAAGAATCTTGCCAATTCTATCAAAACATTATATGTTTCTCTATTTTCTAGGGTCGAGGTGGTAAGAAGTTTTATGTTGTGCTAAAAGAAATAATGGAAAGAGATCCTTTGTCTCAACTCTGTGAAAATGAAATGGATCTTATTTGGACTTTGCGATATGACTGTCGTGAAAATTTTCCACAATCATTGCCCAAACTGCTGCTGTCTTTAAAATGGAACAAACTTGAAGATGTTGCTCAGGTAAGGCAGAGACAGTGTTGGTGGGGAAAAATACTGGACTCAAATAATGAGTAAATAGGGTTTCTTTCTAAAGTACAGACATTTTGAAATAGTACCATTTTATAAAACAGAGTTCGTTGTATTCCTTCTGTGGCCTGGACACATAAGCATGATCTTATTTTCTTAAACCAAAAGAACAAAATGCATTTCAGAGGTCCACTGAGTGATGAGAAAAGAACAGCCATTTCATATACAGGATAATTTTTAAAATTATGTGCTCAACTGTCATCTTAAGTGTAAGGAATTTCACAGAATCAGTCTTTTAGGTTGGAAGAGGGACCTGGTGAGATCATCTAGTTCAGCCCCTGTGCTCAAGCACAGTCAGAGCAGGACTTGTAAATCAGGATCTGAAATAAAGCTTCTTACAAAAATTGCTCAACTGGTCAAAGACTGTAAAGATCCACATCTCAGACTGGGTAGTTAAACCACACTGAGGCCAACAGATGATTTTTCTGAGAGATGTGACACCCACTAGTGGTACAAGATACTTCATTCTCATCACATTGACTGTAAGACCAAGTAGGGTTTCTTCAAATTAACTGCAAGTAATTAACTTACAATTAAAGACATGAAGACTGGTGCTGTAAGACAAGGTGACTTTCAGTAAAATTATATCATTTGTTTGCTGTATAGATATACAAGCTTATTCACTACACTGAATTTTTTGTAGCAGCCTTTTCCTGTATTTACCCAAAGAGAATCCAAATCTTGTGATGCTTTTTGGCACTAAGTGGAACCTTGATAGAGGAAAAATTGTTTGAGTTTATAGTTAGAGACCGTTCCTGCTTGACAGACTGACTGAAAAGTAATAAGATAACGGATGTGTGGATTTGTATTGAAAGATTTTAGCCTGTGTACAGAGCAGGGTGGGCAACACTGTGAAACTCCTGATGGATTCAAATGACACTCAACTTGTCACAAACTATTTCACTGAGATAATATTGGTGTCTTTCCATGAGTCTCATTTTTTTTTTTTTAAACTTTAAACTTTTTTTTTTTTCATTTTTAAAATCTTTGAGCTAAAGAGCGTTTGCTGTGAAGGATTATGATTGGTAGTATAAATTTATGTTCTAGCTTAGTATTCTGACCTTCTCCTGGGACAAGCTAGGTGTTCTTGGAAGGAAAGGAAACCAATCCATGAAAATTTTACTTCCATCTATTCATTGTGTGATTTTAGTGATTATCCAGTCAGAATCTTAGCTTGCCTCCAGCATAGAGTTTATTTTCCATTACATCCTTCCTATCAGCTAGATGTATATGTTCCATGAACTTACAAAAATAAATGGAATTTCATCCTAGTTCATTGTCTGTGCCATGAATGCTACACTAACAAAATGTGGCACGCACACATTCCTTGCTCACTTGTGTTCTTTCACATGCAGAAATCCTTTGTTCCTTGGTAATTCCATTATGTGCCTCTGAATTTATTGTTTATTATTAAAAGTTATTTGGAAATATAAACTGTAGAAATACAAGTAGGTATTTGTTTACTCATTAAAACGTGAAGGAAAAGGTATCCTGATTACTTGCTTGGAAGCATGGCCTTTGGTAGCAGAGTTAAGAAAAATTATTTAGAGTGTGGATATTAGCTGACAGCTCAAAGTCCTTTAAATTTGGGTATATGAAAGCTCTCATTGTATTGCAATATTTTAGTAGAAAAGTTGCACTGAAGGAGTTCTGGACCTGCTTGCCCTTACTGTTGCTGTAAGCTCCTCGTTCGGCAGGGTAGTAGGGTGGCAGAAGCTGTTAGCAGAATTCACAGGCAGTATTTATTCTCAAAGCAGAACTTCACCATTATTAAAAAGAAAATATTTAAAATCCACCCGTCTTCAATGAAGTGATACCTTCGTTAATGACAGCTAGAGGAAGGCCAGCTAATTTTTAAAATACTTGAAATAACTGGAATAAAAAGACTGACCTGTCCTGAATTGTATTGTGTCTTACAAAAAGCTTCTTTTATTGGGGAAGAAATTGTTTATTTCTTTGTAGATAAAAGAATTCATACACCAATGCCAAATTCCAGTTGTCTCTAAATCTTCAGGCTGTTGCTGAGAATTAAGTGCCTTGTTTTCTGACAGCTGGTTGGGAGTTGGGAACCGTGTGAGAGAAGCATGCAGTATTTCATGTGTGCAGTGTTTTACCATGTTTCATACTGCAGAGAAACTTTAAGACCTGAAACACATAGTCTGAAATGTAAAGCTGCTGTATAAATGAGATGTATTTGGAAGTTCTTCAGAGTTACCTCTCTGTTGCCAAAGCAGATCATTGCACGGTGCAAGTATTTCCCATACCCTTTCACCTGCACTTTTGAGATGCTTTTACGGGCAGTTGCACCCATCTTTTTTTTTTTTTTTTTTACATAGTTGTTTCATGTGTAACCTTACAGTCTTCTTTTTAAAACAGCTTCAGGCTCTCCTTCAGATATGGCCCAAGCTGCTGCCTAGAGAAGCATTAGAATTGTTGGATTTCAATTATCCAGACCAGTATGTCAGAGAATATGCAGTGGGTTGTTTAAAGCAAATGAGGTGAGTATATTTATTGCTTCAGCATGCAAGGATTTCTGGGGTAAAAAAAATGCATGATTGCTTATAGCCAAAAAAAAAAAAAGCCAAAGAGGAAAGATTTAAAGACACTGCCTGCTGTGGATAGGTGGCCAGAAAAAGCAGTCTTATTTCTAGATAAGTGCATGGGCAGCCAAACAAACCCTTTTATTCTGACATCTTGTATTCAGTGATGATTATTTTCCACGTTGCCAAGAGAACACCAGTGTAACTTTGTCCCACAGAGGGTTCTGTGGTCACCCCTTTCTAGGACAAGGGGAAAGCAAGATAATGTGAGAACTTCTTAATAGCAAGGGGAGAAAATATTACAGTAGTGAAATACTGCAAGAACTGCTGTCCATCCACCCCACACTTGTCAGGTATTGGCTGTATCATTTAAAAGAAATGTGAACTGTAGATTATATGAAAGAACCCAGAGAATGACTGACTTGTTTGTTCTTTACAGTAGTCTTTGCTGTTTGCAGTTCTTCCTTTATTGTGTGTAATTTTGCTCTTCACAGTAACCTAGGGCAAGATTTGTATAACATTATCATTTGCAGCATTACTGAATATTTCCTGTCCTTGAATTCTAAATTCTCTGTGGTGAATAGTTTAATGATTAATTTTTTTAATGGTCAAGGCTAGACTTTTGAGGTTAAAAGAAAATAATTTTATTTCTTTCTAATGCAAACAAGCAATTTAGCTGCTGGACTGTCCTAATACTGTGGAATTGTTGCATCTAGAATTCCAGAATTCTTAGTTCTAGTCCTGAAGCCAGAAAATCATGTTCAGCTGAGTGTCAGAAATCAATTTTTAATGTCTTTGACAGTCTGATGAAGGCAGCTGGTAAAAAAAAAAAATATTGGGTTTTTGTGGAGAGGGGAATACAGGATTTTATAGAACATTATTTGAATCAGTTGTATTATGTCAGACTATTACTTGAAATAGTTAATTAGCATAGATACTTTTCAAAGGTATGTTTATAAACTGTGGATAAATACCTAAACTTGCACTTCTGAAGTAGGAGTAATTTGGGCACTGTTTGGTTTCTCAAAGGTAATGTACATTTCAGACAAAACTTAGACATAAAGAATTTTGGCTAAATGGATCACTTTGTAGGTATATCCTAATAAATGAACACTTTTTAACTGACAGGTAGTAACTTTTAAAGACATGATAACTGAATTGTTTTCAGTGGAGTGAATGCTCTTCTCCCCATCTTTCTAAGCTGAGTGGCTTCTGTATGTATATGAAATTATTCTCTGTTCTTATCCATGCTGACTACTCGCTATGTGGTTCCAAAGGTCTGTCTCCTTAGAGGCTGAGTGGTCAAAGGGACCCAAAGTCCAGTCTGAAATAACTCAAAATAATTAATTTCCCGGATACTTAGCTGAGCACTTGGGCTGAGATCTTGATCTTGTAAAAAGCCTGTCACAGAACAGCAGGTGTTTGCTTTAAAGGTTCTGTTTGAGGTATGGCTTACTGATGAACTGGTCAGTCTGGCAGTTGCACTAAGTTGTGTATTAGTGTCCTTCTCCATGCAACTGAAAACCTGGGGGGCACTCTTGCTGTTGAAACAAATCTGTCATTGTTGGGTTTGTCAGAAGTGTGAGAGTTTCTGGGTTCACTCTGTCACTAACTGCTTTTACGTCCCTCCCTCTAGTGATGAAGAGCTCTCTCAGTATCTCCTGCAGCTCGTGCAGGTTCTGAAGTACGAGCCGTTCCTGGACTGCGCGCTCTCCAGGTTCCTGCTGGAGCGAGCGCTGGCCAACAGGAGAATAGGACAGATGCTCTTCTGGCACCTGAGGTACGAGGGCTTCCCCAGGCTCCTTCTGAAACTGCTGAGCCTGAGGGGACTTCCAGATATGATTTCTTGAGGATTTTTCTAAATGATCCATTATCATAGTCCCCTGCCAATCCTTGTTTCTTTACCTTTGGCATTTATAGGTCAGAGGAAACCTGTAATTAAAAATTTATTACAGTGGTTTGTAATCTACTGTTTGATGGAACTATTCCAAACTGCATTCAGATCTATCTGATAAGTTAGGTTTGTGTGTATCACTTCAGTGTTTGTTTTGTCTGTCAGTGCAGTAAAAGTACAATATTTACCCCACAGTTTGGAATAAATTTATATTACTGTTGAGAGTCTAACAGAAAATAAAAACAGTTTTGTGTGTCCTTGATACTTCTGATATCTGGTTTCGTGAATGGCAGAGAACTTGCAGGGTGTATTATAAGCTGATGCTATCTTCCAAGTACATTTTATTTTAGTATTTCTAAATCAAAAGAGCAAGTACTACAGGAAAATGTTTTGGGAGGATAATTGGCTCTGGTATAAGGTTCAGTCATTTGTTTCATAGTGTTCTCCCTCAGGCAAATTTTGGCTTTCTCCTTACCAAGACTTGAGAACATGTGATTTAATGCTGGGCCCCGATTTGTTAGTATCATCTTCCATGGCTTATCAGTGCAACTTTCTTGAATAAAAGAGGTTCCTGAAAACAAATCCACAATTCCAGTCCCTATCTCTTAACATTACTGCCTCCAGAGCAGTCCTGGACCTTGAAACAAGTGACATGCATTGAAACTAGCCAGTCCTCATAGTCTTCAGCACTTCCACATTCTGTTATTTCTTAAGAAATCTGGCTTTTTGTTTTATCCACCTGACCATAAGGTGTTTTGCTACTTGGTGGGGTTGGTTTTGCTGCTGTTTTTTGGTTTGGTTGGTTTTTAATTTTGTTTTAATGACTTGAAGAATGCTAACCTGTAAATGCTGTGGTCTGACGAGGAGCTTTTCTTCTCACAGGTCAGAGGTTCACATTCCTGGTGTCTCAGTCCAGTTTGGTTTGATACTTGAAGCTTACTGCCGAGGAAGCGTTGCCCATATGAAAGTGCTTGCTAAACAGGTACAGACTTCACTTCTCCTTTCAAAACCTGGCTTATCCCAGCTGGTAACTCAGTTCCTTGCTGCCTGGCTCCTATGGGGCATCTTGGTTATTCTGACAAAACCTACCTGTTGGGGAAGAGGAAAGAGAAGGGGGCATGGCTGAGACAGAAATAAAGGGCTAACTAGCTGGATGGTGGAGCTGTCCTCCCTGGCACAGAAAGCAGGTAGGGGGATAGGGAGCTGGTTTTAGGGTGTTCTGAGATACACAAGATGTCCTGGATAGAGCAGTAGGCTGTCTGGAATAACTGAAGAAAGGTTTCTGTGCACTTGAAACTTGTGACCTTTTGTCCCCAGTAACAGTCAGTAGTTCAACACAAATTATTACCCTTTATCTAGATGGCTCCAGGACTACTTACTGCAGATTTGGCTTTTGTTAGAAGGTGATGCAAAACCTTCTGTAGTTGTTGTACACCTGGAAATAGAGGAAATAGAGGCGTTGAAGTGAATGGAATACTCATTTTAGTGTTGACATACATTTGCTGTTTACAAAGCAAAACAGAGAAAAAAATTGAGATGTGTTTGCTTTTAAATACCCTAATAAGTGTGAGAGTTTGCTTTTAAATACACTAGTAAGCGTATCAGCAGGTCATTGAGAAACTTGCAAATTGAAGTCTGCAATGCAGTTTTAGCAAGTTAATTTAGATTGTGACCATAAAAATCTTTGAAAAATTACCTCTCTCTGGAATTAATATATTTGCTGTATCACACTGCAAAGACTAACTCAGATACTTGTCTGGTGAGTGTTATTTCCAACAGCTTGGATACTGTCTACGTTGAAACTGTGCTTTGAGAGGCAGATGGAACAGGAACATACTGTTGTGCTTCTTATTCCTACAGTTCTCAGGACATGGAAAAGACCATCTCATCCATGCGTGCTTGTTAGTATTGTCAAAATCATACAAAGATTAGGTGGTGAAATGCTTTAAGCAATAGACCTGGGGTCAGTAAAGTTTTTGTGCACTTCACAGGAAACAAATGTCAGTACAATCAAAGAAGGGGCAAAAAAATTCCCAACTGTGCAAACACGGAAGAAATTCAAAGTAGAAATACTTCAAAAAGTTCCTGTTTGTACAGCACAGGTTCCATTTTGTTCCCTTGTCACTGATGTTTGTACAGCTCCTAGAATAGTGGAAAAGCAGAGTGCTTTTGGTTTTGACAGATGGCTGACCTGGCAGGTCTCCACTGCCTCAGTTTTATAATCAAACCACATACAATTTCCACAGCATCCTGCCTGACAGGGTTCAGTCTGCCTGTGGAAGTGGTCAGCTTTGACTCAGCACCTTGTAAGTTGGAGTGAAGCTTCCTCATATAGAAATCCGTTTCTGTAGTTATTCCATTGATGCTGTTTGCTAGAGAATGTGTGTACTGCTGAGCATGTTAACTGTGGCTAGTGCAGCTAGAGGTGACTGTTACCAAACTATTTTATATTTGGCTAACAAGTTGTTAGATGTAGATGCAAGGTAGAAATTGTGTTTGTTGTACGTGCTGGTGTCTAGGCTTGGTACCAAAGGGCGTTTCTCTGTTAGTGTTATGTACAGGTTACATCACTGGTTGTTTTCTTAGAAATCATGTACCAGTAGAAAAGACTAAAACAGAAGGGGCAGGGGGAAGGGTTCAATGCCCCTGTGTTGGTTGCAAGTTTTTGCCTTGCATTTTTATACATTTTTAAGGTAGTGGTATTGCTTAGATGAGATACTGTAATTAAGAAAGCTTTAACTGATTAGAGCATTTACATTATGCCCAACTTCAGCATATTTTAATGAACAAACATTTAAGACCCTGCTCTGTAAAAGTTAAGTACCTGTAGCTCTGTATGTGAAGATGGCCCACAAGTGGTTGTGTGGCTGTTACTGTATTGCATGCAACTAACTGGACACGTGCAGTGAGGTTTCTGTGTCCCCAGCTCATTTCAAGCAATGTTTGATTTTGTTGGACGTATGGAGCACTCAATATTTCTGTTGACTTCAGCATGGATAGGGGTACCTACATTATTTGCTTTAGTGAAACAGTGTATTAAAATTGTGTTTTGAAGAAAGAATTTGAATGTATGATACATTCAAATACCTAATTTTTATTTATTTATTTATTTTGAAACATTAAGTAAGCCATGCTTTAGAAAGTGACTCAAAGCTTTGGAGCTTTCAGCCCGTCAGTGCCTTTGTCACTTATGAAAATGGGATTTCTGGGATGTAAGTGGCTTTAGAAAAGGCTGTTCTCATATTTTGGGGGGCATGCCATCTTAGTGGCCATCTATTGTTTCCTTTTTTAAAAAGTTGTAGAATTATTTAATACTTTCTTCTATTTTGAAATGGGGTTTTTCACTGTATTATGTATAAAATGAGAGCAATAACTTTTAAAGATAAAATCTCTCTTTCAGGTGGAAGCGCTTAATAAGATGAAGACTTTAAATAGTCTAATTAAGCTGAATGCCATGAAGCAAAGCAAAGCAAAAGGAAAAGATGCAATGCACACGTGTCTGAAGCAAAATGCCTACAGAGAAGCACTTTCTGACCTCCAGTCTCCTCTGAACCCTTCTGTTATACTTTCAGAGCTACAGTAAGTTAAGAATGAGTGAATAAAACGTCACTGTAGCTTTTGCCTGGGAGCAGTAAAGCAGAAACGTGTGTGTGCTCTGACTTCCCTTGGCTCTGGTGTTCAGCAGCCACACTCTCACGGGGAACCTCTTCCACAGTGAGAGAAGGTCTCTTGGGAATCTGCCCAGGTTAAGCTATCAGCCAAGTTAGGTTTTTGTGATCCACCATGAAACTTAATGCTCTTATTCAATGCATTACCATACCTAAATTTATTTAAATATAAGCCTAAAAGTGAATTAGACTGCATTCCTGGCTTCTGTTTATAATAGTAAGCACAAAACCTAGTGAAACTTTTAACAGCACTTAAAATCAAAGGCTAAATATTGATGGGAAATTATATGAAGAAAACTTTTCTCTGAGAAGTCGGGAGCATGATTTAAGCATTGGGTACATGTGTGCTGGTCACTGACTCCTGTGCTCTGACAGATACATTCATGACTCAGTAACCATTCCTAGCATAGCAGCAGAATGAAAGTACTTCCAACCTGAGAGTCTTTCATGTTCTGTTGTGTTTTGAACAATGTTTATAGCTTTTCAGCTGAAAAGTTTGACCAAAACTTCTGTTTTCTTCTAGTGTTGAGAAATGTAGATATATGGATTCCAAAATGAAGCCTCTGTGGATAGTATACAACAACAAAATGTTTGGAGGGGATCTCGTAGGGATCATCTTTAAAAATGGTGATGGTAAGTGATCCTAAAAATGGTAATGTTTTTCACATTCCTTCTTCATCCCCACACTTCACTTGAGTTGTGTTGCTCTATTGCCATAGCAGAAACGTCGCTTGCTCTAACATCGCTAAAGAAATTAAGCATCTGCCTATGACTGGGTCTCAAAGTATAGTCATTATCAGTTGTGATGATATAATTATGGTTAACCCCATTTTAACCTTTAGGCTTGAGTGCTTTTGGAGACCTTTTCCTTCAGGCCTTAGAAATATTGGGAAGTTTGTCTGCAACACAGTGGGAAGTTGAAGTAGCGTTTCAACTCTCTGTTGTAGATCTCCGACAGGACATGCTGACGCTCCAGATCTTGCGTCTGATGGACATACTTTGGAAAGAAGCTGGTCTGGACCTCAGGTGAGTCTTTTGAAGGCTGTGTTATTTGGATGGAGAGTCCACTTTTAGAGCAAAGCTTTCCTGTTTTTTAAATACCTTCCCTTCTCTCCCCTTTCTAAACAGATATCTGTGCCAGTGCCCAAAGGTTTCAGCTGCCATATGAACAGGCTATAGAAAGCAGCTCTTGTAACTAGTTAGATGGCTTTTCTTTGCATTTCTTTGCCTATGTGGCCCACATTTCAAAATACTTTAACTGTGAAGACAAATAATGGAAGAAGTGAAACTTTGTGATTTTTGTTCATTGTCAAGCAGAACATTTTTCCTAGTGCACCATATCTCTTGATGTCTGTCTGAGTTGCTACGCTGATTATAAATTCCACCGTTCTCTTATGCAGTTTACTGTTTCCATCCTTTGAAAATCATCTAGATAAAAAGCATTCTGTGAAGTCAGGAAACAATTCCTGACGTAAGGGTCCAGCAACTGGTTTTCCAGGAATTTGCAAAAATAAGGATTTAGTGATTATGAGAATTGCAGCTCTTTGGTTCTAGTACACATGTGCAGGTAAGGTACAAACATGAAACACGGATCTCCCGAAGAATGCATTGGAATGCACCACTGAGGCTCTCTAATAGGTAGAACTGAAAGGCAAAATTCTCTCTAGAAAATAGTCAGCTTTAAGTACTGGGAATTTGGGGTTGGGGAGCTCTGCTGCTCCCACAGAGCCACTTCTCTCAAAATGAAATAAAAAACCTTTCCAAGGTACCAAGAGTACAGGAGTTTCAAGTGTTTAAAAAGCTTATTTCAGAATGATGAGGAGGGTTGTGGGATTTTCATTCATGTGTTAGGTCATTAGTCAAGTCTCTAGGGTAGTATCTCCTCCCATGGAAGCTTGTCACCTTTTAATCAGTTGTGTAAGTAGCAATAAACTCAAGTATTTTTTGTAGTGGCCACTTTTTCTCCCTGCTGTGAGCAGTACTTACTGCTGTTTACAGTGAGAATTACAGTCACTGTGAGTATCTTCAATGTATATTCTGAAGCTCCACTTTACATTCTTTTGGATGTCAGAAAACATTTTTTAGACCAGAAATATCTTTATATCTTCCAGAGTCTCTTGCAGAGCAGCATTTACCTGCATGCGCTTGCTAAGATAAGCATGAGTTGTTTGTGGGAATGCTGGAGTATTCCACAGAGAAACAGCATCGGGCATTGTTCAGTGTTACCATACATCTCTCCAGTACATGGGGAACTTTTCCAGCCAAATCTGTGCACCAGTTTTAGCTAGTGTAATTCTCAAATTCTAATTCTTTTTAGAAAAGTAGTTCTAAAGATACTGGGTCTCACAATATTATATACCATCTGGAGGCCGTAAATTTGATTTTGTATGCCTGTAAAAGAGCTGTAATTCTTTGTGTTCAAATTTAAGTGTTGTTCATAAGGCTAGAAGTACTTAAGTATTACTTGAAATACTTCATTTAGATTCTTTGGGATGATTTCAAACTTTTTGTGGTTCAAGCATAGTAACGGGAGCTTCATAATGCACATAACATCAGCCCACACAGATAAGTAAAATTATAAACTTGTTACTTACGCTGCTTACAGAAAGATTCCTTCAAGTGAAGTATGGGTTAAGGTAGGAATGTGAATAATAAATTGTTTCTGGAAGTGTATATTTGTGATGAGATGGCTGAGCGTGTGTTAAGTTGAACACTGAATTCAGGAAACTTTAGATAATTTATGTCATTATAAATAGACTGTGAGGAGACTGATCCAGCATTTAGGGGCAAGGACAACCTCTGGCAGCTGTGGAATCCCAGATGAGACATTCTTTGGTCGCTGTCTTCCCAGAAGCTTAGTTTGTGGTTCCACACTGGGCCACACACTGTGCCTAGCGAACAACAGCAGTGATTAGGAGTCACCAAATATGCTTTCCCTGACTAAGGCATTTTTTTACATTCAACAAAGGAAACCCAGAAAGTACCTCTGCTATCCAACATTTCTCTTAAAACTCCTTTCCCTGACTAAGGCATTTTTTTACACTCAGCAAAGGAAACCCAGAAAGTACCTCTGATATTCAACATTTCTCTTAAAACTCTAAGAAGAAAAGTAGAAAGGGGAAGTTTCTAGTGAAAATTGAAGTTCTGTAACTGGCTACTTCCATTTATTTACTTAACTGGGAGCATCTTCCTTCCCTGACTGCCTGGACACAGCTGACAGGGTAAGACTGTGATCTCCATGTTTACAGTCTACATGCCTCTCAAGAAGAGGGAACTCCAAAATTTATGAATTAACAGCAGTGGCAATGAGTTCTGTTGCCTTATTCACAATTCAGAACTTGTTGACTTGCTTCTTGCTTGACTGTGGTGTCAGGTAAAAAGTAGTGTCAGGTAGATCTGCTCTCCTGAAAAGCACAACTTCATACATCCATACCAATTAGTGGGGTTGTTTCTTCTTGCCCTGTATTATCTTTTGAAGCTTTGGTTTCCCTGAAGCTGTTGTTTCCTTTTTCAGTTTAGTGGATGCATGATGGATTTTGCACTTTTCAACCTTTTTTTCACAAACCTTTTTCCACAAGAAGCCAAATTACTCCATTCAAGTAAAACCAGGGCTTCTCACTTGTCTCACCAGTGTGACAGCAGAAGCACTTGCTGTTTGCCTCTCTTCCAGTCAATAGGACCTTGCCACAAGTGAACTGTACAGCTTCTGTGAAGCATGGCTCAAGGGGCAGGCAGTGTGCTGCAATCGTGGAGTCTGGGGAGGGTCAGGTTCCTCCTAATGGCTCTGCAGCCTGCAGTCCCTTAGTGGGGGGTAACTCAGAGTGAAATGTCAGCCCAGTCTGTCTAAAGCAAGCACAGTATTCCCCGTGGGGTTTCTCAGCTCTGGAGAGGAATATGAAATACATATTGGGTTTGAGATCTCCCAAGCTGAAGAAGGAGAAAGGTTGGCTGGTTTTACTCTCAGCTGATCTGTCTCGGGGGTGACCTGGCCTCTGCCACACGGGGTGTTTTGTTGTCTCTCTTCCTGTGTGTGCACTTCGACCAAACACCAGAAGGAGACCAGGGAAAGGAAATACCTGTACGTGGAGGATGCAGCAGCATACTCCAGTAGGTGCTTTGTCCTGGGCTGTTGCTGGATGGACCACGGAGTGCACAACTGAATAAAACTTCAGGTGTAAATGGCATCTGCTGCTCAGTACAGACCCAGCCATGAGACAGCAAAGGCCATCACCCCAACGAACCCCAGCCCCTCTGTTGTTGAGGGACATCTGGCTCAGTGTACCTTGGACATCAGGCAATCAAGTGACAGAGGGAAAGGAGAAACCCAAAAGATTATATTCTTTAATTAATTCCCTTACCTGTTCATCTCTAGACAAACTATTACCTGGAAATGGAGCAGGAAATAGTTGGCCTAAGACATTAGTGCAGCCAAACTTCCTTAGTTCTTTCTGTAGTTTAGTTGTTTTGTGTGCTTTAAATATAGGTGACTATGGAGCAAGCTCACTGAGTTAAATGGTATTTATTTATATTGAGGTTTCATCTCCAGAATTACAAAATGAGAATTTCAGAGGTTCAAACTCCCTGAAAAGTTACAACTCTTCAAGTTAATTTGATTTTAAAAATTCTGCAGCTGAAGACATATGTACAAGCATGTTCATAGTAGATGCATAGCTTTCTGTAATCCCTGTGAGGAGTGTTCCAATATTACAAATAGGTGTGACAGCAGAGGAGGATAACATCTGTCTTCCCAAGCCTGACGTGGGGCTGCAGTGTTGCACCTCCTAGGAGAGCAAACCTTGCGTCAGAAAGTGTTTCCACTGCTTTACCTGTATTGCAGCAATGAAATGGTGTTAAGGGAGCAACTAGTGAAATAAGCAACAGGAAATCCTAAGTTTGAGGTGTTTGATCTATGTTGAGTGACCTTTGGCTATGGTAAATTGGCATAAAGGTACTTAGTATTTGGTTACTTTTTGGATGAAGAGAGGAAGTCCTCTCAATGATTTCACTGCCTATTTATCATGAGTTTTCATTTTCATCTCCCTTAACATGTGAAATCTGATGCTAAGTGGCTGTGTATGAATGCAATCAGAGTTCACAAACAAGTGGGAAAATGTATTTGTTACAAGTCTAAAGAATGTCAGTATTTTTAAACCACTGGGCCTGAAGTTAACAGAGAATGTGTTGATAAATTACTAGTGTTTGGTGGTGTATTTGAAAAGATATTGCCTTGGTGAATCAAGCTCTTAAATTAGAGAGGAGTATTAAATGGAGCGAAGAAGAAAGGATTCTGTTCTGCCCAGGGTTGCTGTATTGATCTGCTCGTGGTCTTCACTGGCGTTAAAAAGCAGGGAGCATATCCTGCTGACAGATGTTGAAGTCAGAAAGACCAGGATGAGATGGAAAGGGCCCAGAGGATTTGTCCCCAACTTGACTCCTGTCAAACTGTCTCTCTGACAAGGATGTTTTTTCCTCCAGTTGTAACCACACAGCCCTCAAGGGGCTGAAGGCTTTCATCATTGCTTGCTTTTGAAGGGGAAGTTGTTGGACATGTGCCCAGTTAAGCTGCAAGTAGGGTGGGTTGAAATGCCGTGGCCGAAGGCCAGCGTGCACTTTAACCTGGCAATATTTGCCTTAGGTTTGTCGTGTGGTGATAAGGATGGGCAGTGCTTCCTTCTATCATGAACGCTCAGGAATTAGAGACCCCTCGGCTCCTTGTGGGAACCCTCTGGGCTACAGAGTTGGGCTGTTTAATTGGGAGATAGGTTAGAACAGAAAGGGGAAGGTTCCAAATCTGCACCGCATCTTTTTTGTGTTGAAGTTGAGTGTTCTCCAAATACCCCGTTGAATCTGGTTTTCTGTGTGCTTGTTAAAGCCAGCAGAGAAGACTCCCCAGCTATGCAGTTGTCATTGCTTGTGCTGCTGCAGTTGTGTGATATCTCTGGGGCAGAGAAACAGTTCAGTTATCAAATAGCTGTTAGGCCAGGAAGTTACAGTTAATTTCATCTGGAATTTTGTTTATTTTCATCTATGGCTGGGGCTAATAAACTGTGTCAGTGAAGAGATGTGGTTCTGCTCTCCAGCAATCAAACAATATTTGTTTCATGTGTAAATACTGACGACAACTCCACCAGCAGTGCTTTTAATATATGTGCACACACAGATGTTAATGTGTCCTGCAAGGTTTTAAACGGTTTTGGGCGTCGGTGAGCGCTGGTCTATAGCTTGTGTGCTGCAGTTTGGGTTGCCTGGGCATCCTTTCTGGATGGATCCAGGACCAGCTGAGATGATGTTCTTGACCTGAGGTGCCTAGCACAGGAGTAGACACCTCTGTTTGTGCTGCAATGCCTTTGAAGAGTTTGCTCTAAGCTTCCGTTGTGTATGTTAAGCCTCCATCTAAGCTGCTGTTCCATTCAGCTTTTTAAGCATCTGGAGTGAGAAAACATTTTGGAAAAACTCATCTATTTAGTCACATCTCCTTGATCCAAAATAAGACACGTTAATTGTGTCTTATTTTAATGCAATGATATTGTTGTCAATATTTTCACTGTGCATAGTATATGACTGCATAGGAATAGTCTCAGTCTCATATATCAGGCAGGTTAAAAGATGTATTCCTGTTTTTCATTAGCTTTTTATACTTAGAATTAGTAACAGTTGGAAAACATTAATTTACATTTATATTTAAAAGGTTTTCTATCATTTTAGTTTGAAATAGAAGGAAGGGGGGGAAAGGAGCCTCTTTTCCATTTACATAAATAATTTAGTCTAGAATGGATGTGAGTGTAAGGTAACTGTTTAGCCAGTAAATTAACAAATGAAAACAAAGGGCTCCCTCTGTGGTTTCTCCTATAAAATTACAAGTCATAATTACCTAGTAAAAGGGGAAAAAAGGGTTCCTTGTTTTCTTTGTTTTGCATACACATATGTAATGGGGGAAAAAATGGTGTTAATGTTTTGCTGCTGTTTGAACTTTCCAAGGTTAGCATACAGGTGTTGCTTGCAGAGTGTGATGTTCAAGTTAGTGTCAGTATTCAGCCCACTCCAAATACAGATGCACTAAGGAAACATTCCTACTGGATTTGTTTTTAACACAAGTCTGTGTTTTCTTTCAGGATATTGCCCTATGGCTGTTTAGCAACTGGAGATCACTCTGGCCTGATTGAGGCTGTTTCTAGTTCAGAAACCATTGCTGACATTCAGTTAAACAGCAGCAATGTCGCTGCGGCTGCCGCCTTCAACAAAGATGCTCTCTTAAACTGGCTGAAGGAATACAACCTAGGGTAATGCCTACAGTTATCTTCTCATCTGTAGTGTAAGCTACAAAATAAGCTTCTGTTTCAATACTGAGGAATGTGTGGCTCTTCTGGCAGGTTTGTTGCCACTGATTTTTCTAGCATATCAAATTCTGATGCAGATTCATGGTGCCATTGGAATTGAAACAATGATCCAGCTGAAATTCTGGCATTTGCAGCATTTTGACTGGACATTGTTGAGTAAGTTATATAAGATTTGGCAAAGCAAACAAACCCGGGAAAATTACATGAGTCTCAAGCCTTGATGCCTTTCATAATGTTTGCATTTCTCCTATTCTCCTTGGCTACTCCTTACAGTATTTTCTCTCAGATAAGTGTAGTTTTACAGCATCCTAATGGGCTTCTGGCTTAAAAATGGAAAAATCCTTCCTGAGGTCAAGATATGAGACGAGTATCCAGTAGTTTGCTCTAACATTGTTTGTGTTTGTGGTTCCAGAGATGACTTGGATCGAGCCATTGAAGAATTTACTCTGTCCTGTGCTGGCTACTGTGTAGCTACTTACGTACTGGGAATTGGTGACAGACACAGTGACAACATCATGGTCAGAAAAAATGGCCAGGTAATTTCTCTATTGGATGTTACCAACAAGATGTCTGTTGGCAGACATCAGAAGCTTAAGCCTGAGATAATCTTTTGCACACCGATTTGTAGTGGTGGTCACTCATAAAAGTACAGATGTTATCACAGACTTAAACAAGTCCTGAAATGTTTTAAAGTCAAATACTCCTGAAGGATTGAAACCATGGGCTATGGAGAGCAGCATAATGAGTTAGTTGCTCTTGATATCAGTATCCACCTGTAGAGGTATTAGCAAGGTGAAATATTTTCACTGGAGAAATTAATTCTCACTTCTTTTTTTTTTAGCTCTTTCATATAGATTTTGGGCATATTCTTGGAAACTTCAAGTCCAAGTTTGGAATTAAAAGGGAACGGGTACCTTTCATACTCACCTATGATTTCATTCATGTTATTCAACAAGGAAAAACAGGGAACACTGAAAAATTTGGTCGGTGAGTGTTATTTTGATCTCTTCCTTTTGTGACTGAAATGATCTGTGGTGATAATTTCCAGCAGACCAGGAGCCTGTTTGGGTTTGGTTTGCTCATTTGTACTTGTGAGGAAGGGTGTAACTTGCATTTGCATGACTGTCTGCTTCTCCACCAGAGCTACAATACATACACAAATAGCTTCATATATCAGGAACTGCAGCTTTGAAGGGTTCTTCCCATTTCCCCTGGAAAATTGTAGATTAGACACTGAACAGTGGCACATCTGGGGGGACAGAGCAAATTCTCAGGTGTGTCTGGAGTTTGATGCCAGTCAGTTCAATTTTGACCGTGTTGGCAGGAAGGAATTACTGCAGAGGTGCAGACTGGAGCAGCAGGGACTGCTAGAGAGTTTTTCTTTCTCCACTGTGGATCCCCTGTGTGGGATCATCGGGGTGTTTCACCTGACGTTCCCAGGGAGATAGGACACTTACTCCACCTATGGCATTATTTGCTCTTTCTGAAGAACAGTAGGGTTTTTTAAAGGTTTTGGTCTCTTGTTCTGATGTTTTAAGGGCTTGTTTGAGAGGCGTGGGGTATTTTTGTGGGAATGCATGAGAGGTCCTGTAGACACCTGTCCTCTCTGATACTGTGTTCCTGCGGTACGCGTGTTGGAGCAGATGGCAGATGCTGGGAGCTGTTGGTGTGTTTGGGCTGATCCTGGGAGCTGTTGGTGTGTTTGGGCTGTGTGAGGTCTCACGTGCTGTCCCTGGCCTGTCCCTTGCCCTGCAGGTTCCGGCAGTACTGTGAGGACGCGTACTTGATCCTGCGCAAGCACGGAAACCTCTTCATCACCCTCTTTGCACTGATGCTGACCGCAGGGCTTCCAGAGCTAACTTCTGTCAAGGACATCCAGTATCTCAAGGTAGAGTAACACTGACAGCACAGCAGGTCTTAGCACTTTTCCAGTATGTGAATTTTGGTGCTAAGATGAATACGTTTTAATTGTTTCCCGTTTCTCTCAAAATTCAAAACTCAAAATTCTAGCAGTCAAAGGAAACTGAATGTACGTTGTTCTCCACCATTCTGCAATGAGTTCAACATCCCCACACCTTAAATGTAGTCATTTCAGGAGTATTTTACATCTTGGCTCATGCACAAGCATAGACCTGTAAATTATTTGTTTAATTCTTCTTGATTTTTATCCTTAAACCCAGAAGATAGCACTGATGTATTGCTCAACAGGTGAAAAAGTGACAAAACAGAAAAAAACCATGTGGTTTGTCTTGAAAGGTGGAGGAGGTGTGGTTTTTAAAATCCCTAACAGTAATTGTTCTCCTCCTGCCATCTTAGGACTCTCTCGCCTTAGGGAAGAGTGAGGAAGAAGCACTAAAACAATTTAAGCAGAAGTTTGATGAAGCCCTCCGGGAAAGCTGGACTACCAAGGTGAACTGGATGGCTCACACCGTTCGGAAGGACTACAGATCCTAGATGAGTTTGGCATTTGCACTAAACTGAATGTTACCCTGAGAAGTGTTTTTAAAGGAGATCTGTAGGATCGACCAACAACACTGATTTTCAATAGGAATGAAAGCAACAAAAAGAAATGGGCTGAAATAATTCCTGAGTCTGTTGCACTCTGCTTCTGAATTCTTGATTCCAAGACTGTCTCTACAACTAGTGAACGTTCTTCTGCTGACTTTGCACGCTGAGAGCTACTAAGCATTTTTTAAAATTCTGTGGTACTTTATGGAAGTGTAAATATTTGTTTTTATACGTTAGGGTGTTGTGCTCTAACATACTTGGGAGGTTTGAAGGCCTCTGACAGAAGTGTTCTTTGTTTAAAGTTGGGTCTTGAAGAGTAAATTTCTTTTTTTTATATCCTAATCTGGCTAAAAATGACCATATTGTGTATATTTTTTCATATGAACTCTGCCCTAGTGGCACAGATGAAATAATTCTACTGTAAATAGCAACCACAGTGTCACTGTACTACAGGGAGCTGCTTGATGTCTTATACTGCTGCCAGAAGAGGAGCAGATATTTGTAAGATAGGGAAGGGTGGGGGGTGGAGGGCAGATCTTTGGAAATGATGCAGTGTCCAGATGTTCAGGGTTGCACACTTTTGTTCCTCTGACGTAACACACTTTTTTTTAGGAGGGAAGTTAGGCCAGTTCCAAACATGTCTGAGAATCCCTCATTGGTGACTGCCTCCTATTCATCCTCTGGGGCTTTGTTTTCAACTCCCAAAGAGGCACATTTATTTCAGGTTCAGCAAGAAGCTCCTTACAGCCTTACACTGAAATTCATATCTCCAATTACTTGTGCCATGCAAATGTACTGGCATATGGAAAACGTTTGTTAGATGTACCACACATAGTGATTTTTAGAGCATACATACCAAAAAAACCCCAAATGTTTGGAAAAGCAAGTGTTGATGGGAAAAGATCATCCCATAAAACACCAATAAGAAGTCATGAATCCTTTTTTTTTTTTTCTGTATTTATTAAAAGCTTGCAGTACTGTTGCTTTACCAAGATATATATGTTGAAGATGGTTGCTGAAGAAACTGGATTTGTTTTTATTTATTTAGTGAGGTACCAGGCTTTTAGGTGCTTAAATGGAGAGCAAATTTGTTACGTGCAATAGGGAACTGCTGATTAAGAGGTGTAACATACTGTTTCTGAACATCAGCAAGGTAGACTTGACTACTGCTTGTTCTCCAAGGAACACTGGTAGCTCTCAATTCTCATTGACATTTGAAAGAGAATGAAACATATATATATATATATATATATATTTACTTTTTGACTAAACAGTTGTTTTGCATAGAAATGTTGTTTTATGTAGGAATTTAATTAAAGGTGGTTTTACTTTGTTGTGATTTCTATTTTTTGTTGTCATTTTAGGATTTTGTTGTTTCTTTTAAAGGTCAGGAACCTATCTGGAGCCAGGATAGCATTTTATATGATAGTTTGATTCTCCTGTCCTCACCTTTTGGGCTAATCCCTCTGAGGAGACCTCTGCTTCTAGACTACTGTGAAAACAGCAGCTGGTTTGTGGCCTGGCTTTGTGGGTTTTTTTGTATAATACAGTAGCATTTGTGGTGTGCTTTGTCCTCCTTTTTAATTTTTATTTTTATTCTTTTTAAAGTGTGTGAGAGGAAGGCTAAAAAGAAACTACTTTGCAGGTGACAGCTCTGAAAAAAGCAATGTCATCCTCAGCTAATTTGCAGCATATAGATTTGTATAAACAACCATTCCTGGACATACTACATTTTTTGTGAGACAGAGTACTCGGACACCTCTGGTGTGTCTTCTTGCTGAAGGAGACATAACCCTTCCCAGAACTCCAGATAAAGTTGGCAAGTTCACCTTGGCTGCGTGGGGCTGGTGTGCAGGGCATGGGACAGGAGGGAGCATCATGGCATCTCTACAGCCACAGCTAAGGTAACAACTCAGCTCCACGTTCCACCCAGGCGTCTTGTGAGACTCAGCACAAGTTGCTCAAGTCTGTGCCATAGATTCTCACCTGGAAAAATGGAGGAAGAGGCATTGGCTTCCAGATGCAGAAACACCTCCCCTTGGGTACCAGAGGGACATTGCACAAAGATGTTTTCTGTTACAAGATCTTGTTTTTTTTTTCTTTTTGGATGTTACTTTAATTCAGGTTACAAAAGTACCTGAGACAGGCAAGGTGGTTTCCTCACCATCTTCTTTGAGACAGCTGGTACTTAGGGGTGATCAACAATATTGCTTCTGCTCAGCACGTGTATTGGTTAATAGCCCTCAGATGGGGTACGTTGGATTTGGTCGTCTTCACCTTCACTGAGTTTTACTCTTGGTGATTTATTGGCCAGAACACGGAGAGAAACAAGAGGCCTGTTAGATGGTGCATTTCCCGTGTGGCAGTAAATGAAAATGACACATTCTCCTCCTGTAGGTGGAACTTCAGTTAGCTGAGGACAGTGTGTCTCACCAGAAGGCTTTTCCAGGCTGACCTCTCAGGGATGAACCCACAGGAGACAGTGTTTGTGAGGGCACCAAGGTTAATGTGAGCCTTCCCTATGAAGTTTTGAGTGGACAGCTGCTTTAGTATTAGTAAAAATATAACTACTTCCCTGGAGTTTCCATCTGTGGTACAGCTCGTGGCATGCAGTGGTTGAATTCAGAAAATAAGTAATTAAGTGAACGTTTTTGTGAGAAGTAGGAGGAGAGACATTCTGTGATCCAAAAAGAGAATATTGGAATTTTGTCACTTGAGTGCATTAATGATTTCTGTACTTGTCTCCCAATATCCAGCTATGGTGTTAAAAAGGCAGGTTAACTTGGGCTGGGTGGGGTCAGACTTTTTGGCATCAAATGGTCAGATTATGATCTGAGAGTTTAAAGCTGTTGTTAACAGGGAGAAGAAATGTGACCTCTTTACATGTGGAAGCGCTGAGGTTTATGTGGCTGTAGAAAAGAAACAAGTTACAACTCTGGCACCAGCCTTTCAGTTCAGATGGTCTCATGTTATGTTAATTATTTTTTTCCAAGTCTACTTCTAACTTGGTCTGCACATTTCCACTGGAAAAATGACTTCTTAAACCAGCTCTGCTTCTCAAGGCCTTCAGTGTATCTGATAGGTGGGAAAGGTACCTAGTTTGCTTTAAAACCAGCTGGAATTTGGCATCTGTTTGTATATTGCATAAATTTGTCCTGTTTTTCCTTTGATTGCAGGGCTGCTGGATGGGTTTGCTTTCTTTACCTTGCACGGTTTGATTTGTGTCAAATGGTGACAGCTGCTGCTGTTACACTGCTGCACATCCTGTGTTTGATTCCCAAGGAAAGAGCTCCCATGGATTTGCCCCTCCCTGTGGAGTTCCTTCCCTTCCCATTTACGCTTGTATCAGTTTCACTGGCAGTGGTGTGTTGATTGTTGAAGTCATGCAGGTTCTAGTGAAAGCCTGTGGCAGAGCCTAGTCATCTATTTAATATAATGGAGTCCAGTATGCCTCTTTAATTTCCTAGAGCTATTGAAGTCAGATAATTGAATATTACAGGCTATTAATAATTAGCATGTCATGCTATGATCATAGCTCTGTTATTTAGGAATGATTTCAAGCCTAAATCTTCTCAGTAAGTCACCAGTATTTCTAATAATATCCTTTCACAATATATTGTATTAATATAATTATGTATCTGGCTTTAAAGTCTAAAACTGAAATGCTGTGCTCACATAACACATTCCAGCTTTTGCAAATCAGCCACAGGAAGATCACTGCCATAAAACCTCAGGCTGTTAAATGGACATGGGGACTACTGATTTTTGGTGGTTGGGCATGTCAGTTCAGAACACAAGCTTTGCCTTTCCTTGGCAAAGGTGTTTGGCTGGTGTGGAAGTGAAGCTGCCCCTGATGTCCTCTGTGGGAGCTGCAGGTATGACCTCGTCCCCACGTGGGTCACTTGCTTTGGGGGCACACCTAAATACCGCTGGTTCAGGGGCTGGGCAGGCAGCAGAGATGGATTTTCTGATGTTTTCATGGGGACACCAGGGACTTCTTCACATAAACTGGAGCACATGGAAGGAAGTAATGTCTCCAGAATACGCAGCACCGTGCAGATCTCTGAAGCAGATTTCAGTAGCCAGTCCAGGAGAGGTGCAGTTATTTCAACAGCTAACGCTCCTGAGAAAACTTGAGTACTGTGCTGCTCCTGCCACCTCAATGCGTAATGAAAAGCTCAGTAGTTATTCTTTCCAGGCATGACTTGATGACTGATCAAGAAGAGGGTTTGTGCTTCTGCCAGTGCTGACCAGGGAATTTGTCTGCCCTGCTCACATCACTAGTCGTTCTTCACACAGCCTAGTGAAATGGCACTAACGGTTGGTGAAGTGAGGGGAAGAGAAAGCTGGTTCCTTTAATGAGCTGGCTTCGTGTGCTGCTGTTACTTGGGTGCCTTTCCAGCCTAACAGCTCATGTGAGGAACTTACTGTCTGTCCTCCAGCAAATCAGCAGGGGACCATGAGTCAGACACTGATAGAACTTCACTTGTTATGTCACCTCTAGAACACCTGGCTAAAAGCCAGCTCCAAGCTGTGACCTGTTTTACCAGGCTGGACTGGACTGTCAGATTCCAGGTTCTGCTGCCGTGGTGAGACAGTCCCTCACCCTTTCAGTCTGTCACCTCGCTTCTCCTCAGGAGGTTATCTGCACCAGCTTCCCCTGGGATTGCTTGATGAAGGGGGATGTGGATTAATACGTATTTCTTAAGTGGTAGCATGGCTCGTTCTTGGGACACGTGAAGGATCACAGTTTAGGAATAGCAGTCACAGAGAAATGTAAAAGGTTGATTCTGATTTGCCAGGCATCGTTGGGCTTTTATGAAGCAAGTGAGCGGAAGCGACAATCGAGCACCATGGAAACATGGCTTCTGAGGGACTAAACCCTTTGTAGTGCAAGGATGTTTGTAAGATCTCATTTTTGGCCTTTGAAGTCTATGCTTGGGCAGGAAGCCTGGGCACTTGCTGGGAGTGCCCAGAACCACTGAAGTCTGGGCAGAACTGAGGAGCCTGGTAGTGGATCATTCCTGATTGTGAATCCTGCCTAAGGTTTCCTGCTCCATACCTTATGTAAGGGGCTTTGCCCTCTGAGCATTCCCGGGGTACATGTTTGTGGTCTGACCACCTGCAGCACTCGAACAAAGCAGCTCATTCTAGTTTCTGAAGTTGTCTCTTTGCCTCCTTCTCATAAGGAACGTTGAGTGTTCGTTTTGACACGTCACACGGGGAGCTGAGTGGTATTGCTGAGGATACTCTGCAGGATGGGAATGCTCTATACATGGATTTGAATTCCTCCTGTTGAAACTGCTTTGGGGGGCAGGGGGGAACCAGCCTAAGAATGGATGACATAGCTCAGTTAAAGTACTCCCTAGAGATACAAAAAAATCTGGATTCCAGTCCTCTTACCAAACATTCGCCAGAACAAAAATGGAACAGCTTCAAAAGGGGAGTCGGAAGGAGAGAGAGAGAGACTGAGTGTCCTTTCCCCTATGGGCTTGGGAACTTAGGAGCAAGGAAACAGATCCAAACTTCCCAGCCCACGTTCTGTCTGCTTGGCTAAATAAGAGAACCCTTACCATTAATGGCTCTGTGAGATGAAGTCTTGCCCAGTCCCTTCCCTACCAAATAGCAAAGAACTCATCCTGCCTGTACGGCTGTGCCTGCTGCCATGGGAGGAAGGGGTGCATGCTGCTAGGCTGGGGGTAGTCTGTGCCAGAGGCTGCTTCCACCCGAAACCTGTGCTCAGGGATCCCATAGAGGTAAATACTCCTGTGCATGCCTGGATCTCAACGTTACCCACCACCTGCTAGTGTATTGGGTAGTCACTGGCGGATGTCTCGAGGTGTGAGTTACACTGCTGTGCCTAAAACTTTGAATACTCTTTTATTTGCTGCTGTACTACACAGAAGGCTTAAACACTTCCTGAGTTGTGATTATTGCACTTTTTAAGGAGAGGTGCTGCATTTTAAGTTAGGAGTTGAAAGTCTGTAAAAGTTCAGAAATTCTAGTAGGGAATTTGAATGTGATATGCGATTTTTGCAGCCAGGGTAGCCTTTGAGAGCCCTTTTCCCCATCAAATTACACAGCCATGATAGTTAACTTAAGAATAAAAAGTTTAATATTCCAGACCACAAACAACACTGAAATATACCGAGGCTTTGCAGGTAAGTGTAATGCACCCAGTGGCTCTGCATTTAATATTCACTTTCTTTTTTGCAGGTTGTTTCTTTGAGAAGAAAAATGAAACTCTTTGAAAATGTTTCTGAAACAATTCCCTGTTTTTAATAGCTGAGAAACTTTTAGCTCCTACTTAAAATCTTGTTTTGCAGAGTTCTTGCT